TGTTTGTTTTTCTGGCCATTGCAATCTTGTTTTTTTGGAGTCAGAAGTGAGCACATTTGGATGAGAGGGTGGAGCTGTGGAGGAGTGATGGGTCGATCTGACTCATATACACTGGTGATGCCTCGCAGACGGACTCAAAGCTGCCATGTTCCTAATTATGCCTAATTTAAAGTCTTAATTAACATTAAAACGGGGGAGTTAGAAAAAAAAATCACCCCACGCACAGTTGTTATGAACAGAAAAGTTAGCTATAGAAACCAAAACCTTGTTTTGTACCAGGCTGTAAATATGTTTACTTCTGCCGTAAAGCTGGGCATTTTAACATGGGGGTCCACTGGGATTGACTTGTTTCTGGAGCCAGTCTCAAGTGCCATTTAAGGAGCTACAGTTTTTGGCACCTCCGCCCCGGCTTTACTTTGCAGCCCTGGAGGCTGCTGCTTGGCTGACGTTATAAATTCAGAAAATAATCAGTCAGTAGAAGGATCAGTTAAATGATTAAACACTCTAATGAAGAACATTACCACTGCCATACTGTAACCTACCATTAGTGACCTTTAACTACAATCCAACCCATACATCATTTGAGGCATACTTGTTTTTCACAGGCTCATGCTCTTTGCTATCAAAGACCCTCTCCTGTATGTTGTGGCCCATGACTGCAGATTTAGCCCTCTCACACAGAGGAGCAGGTGTGCTGGATGAGGTTATAGCTTTTTTTTATAAATCCAATAATGAGGATGTGCTCTGACAGCTGAGCAGACTCGGCGTGACTTGAAGCAGAAGTGCTGCTACCCACAGCCAGAGCTCTGACTGTACTGTATATTACACCAGGTTTGCTAATATCTAATATCTTGTGTGCTTTGCAGCCAAACAGGGTGGCTAGCTTCATGGGCGGTCAGTATGCCATTCACACATATTGCGGTAAGCAAGATAAAAAAAAAACTGGCACTGAACATCATCCAGAGTTTTGGGATATGATCCAATATTGACATTCTCAGGCCAAATTTTACATTTTTTGCTGCACTTATTTGATCCAAGAATAGCAACACTGCCTCCATTCTTCATCCCTCCAGTAATTTCCTTTTCTGGTATAATCAGCATTAGAGCCTAATGAACTGCTCTGACACACATCCTGCTGAATATATCTCTAATATGGATCTAAACTTTTAGCCTAATTTTCAGCACCAAATTTAATAAGAAGATTCAGATGGAGAGCAACAAATGCAAAAGAGGTAACAGAACTTTTGTGAGACACCCTCTGGTGTAAACATGGACCTTAGTTGGCCGGCTCTGTGGTGCTCTGCTGTTTTGTGCATTGATATTAAAAACCACTGTAGTTTCACTGAAGTACGTATATGTCTTCAAATCCTGGCCTCTGTCTCAGCAGGATTTGGAAAAACTGCATTTATCTTTAGTAGATTCAACTGCTGTAACGGTGTCTTTAGGGTCTGTCTAAAAGATCAGTCAGACAGCTGCAGATTCAGAATGCTGCTGCTTGAGCGTGAATCATATCACTCCACTTTTGAGGTCTTTATACTAGCGGCCTGTCTGTCAGAGGGTTGATTCTGAAATAAGTACAACTGTTGGTTTATTAAGAATTAAATGATTTAGGGCCAAAATATATTTTGGATTTTCTGCCATATTATGAACCGACCTGACCTCTCAGTTCATCTGGGACATGTCTGCTTTGTGTCGAAGTGTCGAAACTAAACATGGAGAAGCAGCATTCAGTTTTTACGTGCTGTATATCTGGAACAAACTCCCAGAAAACTCCCAGCAGTCTTGCTTTTTCTTTTTTAATCAAAGCTGAAAACTTTTCTGTTTGCTGCTGCCTTGTAATAATCAAATATTTATTCATTTCTTACACTGCACTGTAACTTTTATTCATGTATTTTTTTCTATTTTAGCTTATTATTTTCTATTTTCTTGCTGTTTCATGACTGTTTTTAATTGTATTTAAATGTCCTTTTATAACGTGTTTCTTTTGCCCTTTGTCTCAATATTTTTGATGTTTTATGTAGAGTAGTTTGAATTGCTTTACTGCTGAAATCAGTTACTTGCCACGCCTTTAAATAAACCCTATTTGGCTATCTGTCAATGCTGCTCATTACTACTGTAGCTCATTTTACAGGTTGAATAGTTTGCAAATGAATTTGCAATAAACTGCAATTTGTACACTCAGCCTCAGGTAATTACATCAGTTCCTTCCAAATCAAATAAGAAGAGACAACGTGCAAACCACAATCAGCAGGGAGCAATCGACATAATGTTTGCAACGGTCTTCCAGTCTCTGCAGAAAATAAAATCAAGTCTTCTGCAAATTTAAAATCTAAATTCACTTCTTTTAATAATAGTAAAAAATAACCTTATTTGTACAGCACAGTTCATACAGCAAGTGCAACTCAAAGTGATTTACATAATTAAATGAGAAAATACACATAAAAGATGGCACACACACACACACACAATAAAAACACAAATTAGGTTTGATACCAATTAATTAGATAAAAGCTACCAAAATGCAAGTCTAAAAAGATAGGTTTTAAGATTTCGTTTGAAGCTGTCTTCTGATTCAGAGAGTCTGACGTCCTCTGGAAGGCTGTTCCAGAGATGAGGTCCAATGACACAGAAAACAGCATCACCATACTTTACAATTATACTCTGGGGACAATTAGTAGACCAGGGGTGGATGATCTTAGGAATCTGGAGGGATTGTATTTGACCAACATATCAGATAAATAGTCAGGAGCCAGTCCGTTGAGAGACTTAAAATCTAAAGGCACAATTTTAGAATGAATTCTGAAATGAACAGGAGAGCCCGGTCTCATTCTGAAATCTGGTGCTTGCGCAGCGACTTGCAGTGTCAGAAACCAATGAAAAAAGGTTCTCTTAAACATCGGCATGATACGCAGCCAGTTGCTGTTATAGTTTAAAGGTGCCTGGCGGCATCAGGGTGAAAAGTGGCAGGACAAGGATGAAAGTTAAGGTGGTGAATGTCTGACTGGAGCGGGTGAGAACACAATAAACACTGATTTCCCCCCGAGAGAGTGGTGATCGCATCCCGTAAGATTATAAAGTCAAGTCCTGTTTTTGTTGCCGAAACCCAACCATGTGTTTTTGTTGCCTAAACCTAACCATTTGTTTTTGTTGCCTAAACCTAACCATTTGTTTTTGTTGCCTAAACCTATCTATGTTTTTGTTGCCTAAACCTAACCACAGTTTTGTTGCCTAAACCCAGTCACATTTTTGTTGCCTAAATCCAACCAAGTTTTTGTTGCCTAAACCTAACCACATGTTTTTGTTGCCTAAACCTAACCAAATGTTTGTGTTGCCTAAACCCAGCCACATGTTTTTGTTGCCTAAAGCCAACCACGTTTTTGTTGCCTAAACCTAACCAAATGTTTTTGTTGCCTAAACCCAGCCACGGTTTTATTGCCAAAACCCAACCATGTTTTTGTTGCCTAAACTTAACCAAATGTTTTTGTTGCCTAAACCCAACCACATGTTTGCGTTGCCTAAACCTAACTATGTGTTTTTGTTGCCTAAACCTAACCAAATGTTTGTGTTGCCTAAACCCAACTATGTTTATGTTGCCTAAACCTAACCACAGTTTTGTTGCCTAAACCCAGTCACATTTTTGTTGCCTAAATCCAACCAAGTTTTTGTTGCCTAAACCTAACCACATGTTTGTGTTGCCTAAACCTAACCAAATGTTTGTGTTGCCTAAACCCAACTATGTTTATGTTGCCTAAACCTAACCATGTGTGTTTGTTGTTGAAGGAAAAAAACATCAATTCGATTTGTTGTACCAACATAATGCCTTTATTTTGAAAGAGACTGTATGTAAACATTAAATTTCCTGTGAAAACAGAAGTGTATTTTGAAAGAAGACAATGCATTTAACAGGCAGAACTTTACACAGTGTCCCAGAACGTCAACAACCAATGCAACCAGGGTCCCTTGCGTGTGGTATGTGGACATAACCAAGCCTCAATTTGGGAGGAGGTCGGAGTGAGAATGTGTGATATGTTCTTGATGTTCTGTCTTGGTGAGACGTGCTGCTGCATTTTGGATCATGTGTTTTTTTTTCTTTTAAAGATTTCTTTGAGAGGCCTGAGAACAAGACATTACAGTAGTCAAGTCTGCTGGAGATAAAAGCACGAACAGGTTTGTCTGTGTCTTCTTCAGATAAAAGAGGTTGCACACGGGCAGTGTTTCTAACATGAAAAAATACATTTTAGGTGATGTTTTCTTATTTGGACTTCAAAACACAGGTCATGATCAAAGATAACACCAAGGTTCTTTACTTCATGCTTTTTGTTCAAAGCCAGCTTTTGTAAATGGCTATTAAGTTAAGACTTCAGTTGCCAATACATGTTTAGGTCCATCAAAGCCTTTATATTACAAGATGGGGCTGTACGTTATTCACACTGGGCTGATGCTTTCCCATGCAGGGATTGTTTGTCCGCTCTGTGACCCTGCCTCTTGACCTTTCCTCTCCTCCAGGCTCATCGGTGGTTTGTGCAGGCCTGTCCGAAGCTATGCACACACGGCCTGAGGAGGGCAGCTGCTGTGTCACTGGAGAACTTCACAGCTTCGCCTGGAGGCACCTAGTTTTTCATTCCAGTGGTCCGAGCTGGCTTGCTGGTGCCCAGTGGCTGTTTAGATGATCTGACTAATGCTGCTGCTCCCTCTTATCTCTGTAGAGATGGATGAGAGGTTGACTCATGTAGTTTTCCATGAGGCCATTATTAGACTATTAGGTGCGTAGATGCAAAAATCTTAGACATCTAGCCTATAAACAAGTGAGATTAAGAGCCACAATGAGGCTGTTCAGTTCCAGTCAGTGTGTCGTGTAGAATTCGTGACCGGATTTAAAGTGACGCTGTGTTGTGGAGTCTGTGAACGCAACAGTAAATGTGTGACGTGTGGGTGGAGCTGTAGGTTCAGACCTGCTGTACCAGCTCTGACTCTGATCGGGGAGTTGTTACAAAGGATGCCACCAGTGGAAAACCATGGCAAGGAAGACATGCATGGAAATGCCTCTAAATGTATTTGATTTTTTGTTATTTTAAAATTGTCTTAATGATGCTTTTACATTCTCCAGAATCAAAACTGTTTTTGGAGTGTTTCTTTCTATCTTTTTTTCCTCATTCAGCAGCTTCATGATTATGCATGCATTTGCTGGTTGTAATATGGACTTTTCTTTCTTCTTTAGGTTTTCTAAATATTATCTGCTCGACCAGACGAGGAGAGACTGAGATGAAACGATGCCAGATACATTGCTTTCTTTGGTAAACTTACTCTAAACTTGCTAAGCTTTATGGCGTTTCAAAAATGACAGACTCTAACTTGAGGAACGAAAGCAACTATGGGATCTATTTTGCTGAGGCATTCAACGGATCAGTCCTGGACCAAATATTATCAAACGACAGCATCACCACATGCCCGAACTTCACACTGGACTCACAGGTTGTCGGGGTCGGGATCTTTCTCTCCGTTTTCATTCTGGTGGCAATCGTTGGCAACATTTTGGTTATCCTGTCTGTGGTGTGCAATAAACATTTGCAGACCGTCACAAACTTCTTCATCGTCAACCTGGCCATGGCAGACCTGCTGCTGAGCATTATAGTGCTGCCTTTCTCTGCATCTCTGGAGGTTCTGGGATGCTGGGTGTTTGGCCGGGTTTTCTGTAACATCTGGGCAGCGGTGGATGTGCTCTGCTGCACCGCATCCATCCTCAGCCTCTGCATCATCTCCATCGACAGGTACATAGGTGTAAAACACTGTCTGAAATACCCAACTATTATGACAGAGAGGAAAGCGGTGGCTATTCTAGTGCTGGTTTGGGTGTCATCCACGGTGATCTCTGTCGGACCGCTGCTCGGATGGAAGGAACCGCCGCCGGTGGACGACAGAATCTGCAGCATCACAGAGGAGCCGGGCTACGCGCTCTTCTCCTCTCTCTTCTCTTTCTACCTCCCGCTCCTCGTCATTCTCATCATGTATTTTCGGGTCTACGTGGTGGCCCGCAGGACTACTAAAAGCTTAGAAGCGGGTGTTAAAAGAGAGAGGAACAAGTCGATGGAGGTGGTCCTCCGGATACACTGTCGCAGCGTGCTGGAGGACGCGCGTCCGAGCAGCTCGAAAAACAACAAAAACCACCCGTTTCGAAGTTCGCTCTCTGTGCGGCTGATGAAGTTCTCCAGGGAGAAAAAGGCTGCTAAAACCCTCGCCATCGTCGTGGGAATGTTCATCTTGTGTTGGCTGCCTTTTTTCTTCTTTCTGCCAATGGGTATGTCTTAAAACTTTATATTTCTGTCTCCCGTGGCACAGCGTAAACGCGCCCCAGTGCGCTTATTACACTTTTTCACAACAGACGCACAGAAAAGGGATGTTATAGTTTCATATATGCTCCCTTGTTTCAATTTCTAGCACGTTATAGCGCCTCAAATGACCTACTTGAATGTATGATTCATCACCTCGACTGATTGAATCGCTTGCACTGATATGTTTTACAGCTAATTAAGTTTAATATGGGTAATAAATGCATTTGCGTCACTTGAGTGATTCAACTTTTCAGCCTGCAGCTCCTCCTGAGAGCCGAGTAGATTTCAGTGCAACACACTGGCTAACAATATTAAACCAAACAGTGTGAGAAAACTCACACCATCAAACTGCAAAACATGCAGAGCAATATTCAGGTATAACCACAGGTGTGGATTCCAGGGGGGGCACAGGGGGGATGCAGACCTTATTATTTAGAAAATGTGCATTTGTCCCCTCTAATAAAAACAAGACAGTGGCATTGGCAAAGTTTGAAACATTTACACTACAAATTGATGCATAAAAGGCAGAAATTTGTGCTTAATAAGTCACCAGAATGCAGGAAATTAAGTGCTTAATGCTCCAAATGTCCATACAGATGACCCCCAAACCCCATATGTGTCCCCCTAAATGTCAAAATGAAACCCACCCCCTTCTCACATAACAGAAAACAGAACATTGCATACACTGGATTCCATTCCTCTGTTTATTTATCCAAAGAACGATGCCAGAAAGTCATCAAAACTAAGATTCTTAGATTATAAAAACCAATATCTTAGTCAGAAGAGGTCAAATCTGCAACGTGACCTGTTAATGTGGCTCGTTTTCATGCCTGTAATATTTCTGGGAGCCTATTTTTTTTTCACCTGTTGAAAAAACACTCATAATAGACTGACATTCTTCACTAATGAGCACTCTAAAACTACAGTAAATGCTCCCAGCATCTTGTCACCATCACAGCTCGTTCCAAGTACCATTTCCAGTAGACTACCTGTTTTGGTATGAGTCTCACATAAATGATGTAAAGAGATTTGTGTGTTAAGGGTTTTGTTTCATAGTCTGTATTTGCAGCAGGGTAAGTTCACAACAATAGTAGGACTTTAAATTCTGCCTGGAAGTCTTGAGAATCTGAAATTATTCACACTGAACACTTAAAATGTAGGTCTGACGTTAATAACAGCTTTTAAACTGACAACAGCATCGAAAGGATTAGACATGGAAGTTAGGATGGAAATGGTTTGAAAAGGCCCTTCAGTGGCGATGACCAGTGTAAGTCATTATGAATTATACATAAGTCAAACTGAAGCATGCAATATGCATACAAAGCTGCACTTACAGAAAGTAATAGTATTTACGTCAACACACGCACACACACTGTATGGTGGCCTCATGAATTTTAATTTAGCATACATTTCACATAATTGATTGTGAGAGACATAATGAACAAATGGCCAGTATCTTACCAAGTACAGCACTTACCGCACTCCCAGTTTTGCTGCACCTCCAGATTTATTGAGTCAAATTATTATAGCAAAGCCTGCAGGGAGAGAGATGTTGCGAGAAATGAAATGGGAGCTGGTAATCACTTGATTCACTCAATGGGAGTGAAAAGGGCAAGATTATTCATGTTGGATTATTTGTATCCAGACTTCCAAGGTGGATAGATATTCCTCTTATAATTGAAAATTAATAAAGGCACGAATGAGTTTTAAATGTTGGTGCAAATACATCATCACTTTACACACATTACCATATTACTGCAACATTTATTGAGGCCAATCTTCACCCAAAAAATGTCTTCGGAGCTGATTTTGATAAACAGTCTCTCACATATCATTTTCATTACCATTATCGCATGATGGCTTTGTGATTGTGTTATACAGCCAGCTCTTCTGAAACATCACCCAGGATCTTAAATCTGAAAAAGCCCATGACTCAGAGTGGCACTCCGAAAAATCAGTATTCAAAAGAGAAATCAAAAGGGGCTCTGCCAAAAGGAGTAATTACCTTAGAGAAGTAGGTTTGGTAATACCATAGGTTGTTTTAAATTCATAATTCCTGGTAGATGGTAGAGGTTTCTAATTTGCATCATAATAAGAGTCAATCCACCAAGAACAACTTCATAGTCCAAACTGAACCATAGTTTCTTAATGTGATTGTTAAAGCCTAAATCTCGGAACTAGGAATTTAAGGTCTTTACTGGAAACCATCTGTCCTGCAGAATCCCCACAGACCTGCTGCTCTGCAATCTGAGCCGAACATTGACCACCCTAGAGGAAGTAGTTTAAAGCACATAGTCCCCATAGGGATCAATAAAGTGTTGCCGCGTTTTATGGATTCATCCCTCGAGGGGGTTTGTTGTTTGTTTTCTAAATGACTGACTGACTGATGAGAGTGGAATAGCCACAACATACGATTGCAAACCCTGCATACCCATACTTGGTCAGTCAGACAGATTGATGTTGTTGAGACACATCGTTAATGAGTAACCTTTTGCTGAGAGGCAGACATGTACTTTTAGCACCTCTTGTGCCAATCAGGTCCTTTCTCTGTGATGATGCAAATCTAGACGGAGTAGTCTGACTCATCTGAAGCTCCAGAGAGTGCTCTAACACGATTTGCCTACATTAGTGCACCAGGCTTATGAATACAAGAAACTGATGGAATAAGGAGAAACAGACTTTCAGAATGACTTCGAATGCTGTCTGTCAGAGAAAAATATCAATTGAAACCATATCACACAGATAATATAGAGGTAACTTTATTGTATCAGTTACCCTACAGTGTTAAAAATGTCTGGTTTTTCTTTATTTGCTGCTGACATTAACCCAACCACTATAAAACCACACATTCATGCATGTTTCAAGCCTCTAATTATTACAGTTTCTGTTTGTTTTAGGGGTATATTGTGCACTATTTTCAGAAATATTAAAGTAATACACTTAGTCTGATGAAGGGGACACTGATTTACAGTGAATGTATGAGTAGAGAATTAGTGTCTACAAGAAAAATGTGTGTACTAAGACTAAAATCGCCATTAATATTGTTACAGTGGTTATGCTTACATTGATTGAAATTATTACCTTGATTTTTATGTGCCTACACAGTTTACATTTGTGGGTGCATTATATTTGTCTATGAAGAACTTAATGTGTAAAGAAAATCCGAAAAGGCTAATAATTGATCTCACTAACGTGTTTTAGCCTGTGTAGCCAAAGCCTGCTAGACCACATGTTGCACTGGGTGACATGTCCCTTTATTATGATGCACGTGAGCACTGTGGTTTATTTTGAGCACACCGTTCTGAATTAGTCCCCAACAAATACGCTGTTTACTCCTGTTGGAGTAATTTTGGCAAGAAACTCTCAAGAAACCAGCTGTTATAGGAAACAGTTCTGCCTTTAAAAATAATCAAAGTATATCATGATCAGTTTGTAAATATTTGTGTCTCCAGCAGGAACATTTTGGGCTTAGGGTGGAGAACATTGAGACACTTATTTATAGTCGGTTTTGGTCTTTTCATAGAATTTGTTGACAAGAACAAAATAATAGAATATTATCAGCCTTGTAATTCAAGAATAGTCTAATATATTTATAGTTTCTGCTAATACAAATGTCAATATGGCTACTATAACCACTACAATATGTCATTTGACCCATATTGATTACTATAAATTAGGGCTGTCAATTGATTAAAATATTTAATTGCGATTAATTGCATGGTTGTCCATAGTTAACTCGTGTTTAATCGCAAATTAGTCATTTTTTAAATCTGTTCTAAATGTACCTTAAAGGGATGTTTTACAAGTTTTTGACACTCTTATTAACACGTGAGTGGACAATATGCTAGCTTTATGTTTATTATTATTGCATCATTCTAAAACAATAAGAAACACTGTCCACAATATTCTCCAGAATAACCTCGAAGGTACTGCATACTCAAAAAACATGCTGAAAGCAGATCATGGCAAACTCAAGCCCAACAAGCAACAACAGATACTGACCTGAATGTAACATTACTTAGTGATAGGCCTATCAACACAGTGTAGTGTCCAACTTTACAAGGTTAACTAAACATCCCCTGTTTTTTTAAGGAGTTCGGTGTACTCTGGTGGTAATTCATATCAACACTAAATGCAATAACTTTGGTCTTGCCAAGAGAATCATGTGGCAGAGCTGTGATGCTGAACTTGCCATCCAAAAGACCCCTTTCTTTATCCATTTCTGCTCATGGAGGATTGTTTCTGCTTGCTATCCACAATGATCCTGCTGCATCACTTCCTGATTTCCCAAACTATGGGATGGGCCAAGGGTAATAATTACAGAAGATACGTGCGTGAATCATGCATCAAGGAACTAGTGGCATAAAAAGGAATTTGTGTTAACATTATTAACTTTGACAACCTACCTACTTTAAATCCATAGCGATACAAGTATTCTCTGAACTGTAGCTTTGTCCTTAGTGGCCATATGTTGAGGTTGAGTTTTAAAAAGCCATCAAAGGTTACCTTCACTTGAAGTATAAATATGTCAAAAGACTGACTGAGGACTGATCAGGATTCTGTCTGATCACAAAAAAAGAGACATCACAAAATTTTCTGTGAGATATTGGACAGGTCCCCGGACTCCTTGAAGGGCTTCAATATGTATTCAAAGCATTCATTCATGTACTAGGTTATGAGTCAATGTGAACCATCCTCAAAAAAAGATTTAGAATAGCAATCATCTTTCAGACATCAGACAGAAAGATAATTTTATCTAAAACAAAACAAAACAAAACAAAAAACTAAAAGATACTGATATTGTGGGTCATAGTGAATTACGTGCTGTCTGCCTTGAATGTGATGTCATCTCAGTGAGAAGAGTCAATGAAGAAATTCACCTCCTAGGTTCACTTTGTTCATCTCAAGCCAGGCTTTTAAAAGAAATGAAAGCAGAGTAAGAGCCGTGTCGCAGATGCTACAATCAGAATACTGTTCATACTGCAGACAAAAGGAACAAATAAGAGTGAGAACTCTGTTTTATTATGCAGCTGTTGTCTCTGAGTAAATAGTACAATCAAGCGCACAGTATGCCGTTGGTAGCTGATGTCAAAACAGCAAGAAACCATTACTTTGAAAATCACATGCGAGCCATTTTGTAGAGTTCCACAGTTGAAGTGAAATGAAAATGGACTTGTGGGCCCAGGCAGGGCAGACTTGACATTAGCGCTGAGACATGTTGCGTCTGTGTCCAGGGTCAACAGCTGTGTTAAATCCAAGCCCAGGGAGACAGCACAACTAGAAAGCAATAGGAAAAGAGAGCATTCCATGAAAAACAGCATGTCATTGCATGTCGTACCAAATTACCACAGCGAGTATAATAAAAATGAGCAAAGCTGCTTCAGTGGTGCACCCAAGTCGGGGCCGGGGGTGTCATGGCCCCCGTGGTGCAACTGCTGCCCTCCTCCCCTCACAAAAAAATAATTGGAGGCCAACATTACTGTCTTTAAGAGGTTGTGGTGTCCTTAGTTTTTAAGCTAGCACAACTATGGTGGTATCTTGTGAATCTAGATGATCTAAGGCATCCATTGGTATCACCCATGTTAGCATAGCTTGTTGGGAAGAGGGCTAAGTAACCCTTTAAATTTAGGCTACATTTTGGCGAGAGAAAATCTGGCATGGACATCTTCAGAGGGGTCCCTTGGGTTCCATGGATACCCACAGGTCTCCTCAAAACATGAGAAGGCTTGTTCCCAATAAATGTTTTGTTCCCAAAATCAGTGTACTCAAATTAAAGCTGTATATTTGTTTTTTTTTTTTTTTTTTTTTTTTTAAAGAAAAGAACAACCAGCCTATTTGAAGAACAATGAATTGCCCAAAGTACAGATACATTGCATATTAAAACAGGATTGTTGTGGAACTCAAATGTTAATTGTACACCAGATACTTATCAATATTAACTGCAAAATAAGAGGCTAAAGTATATCAGTATGTGATTCCTGAACTATCTGTATTGACATAGTTTTCAACTAGCCAAAGACTAGCCAAAGACTACTAAAACAGCATAACAAAATTCCTGAAATTCAGTTATAGCTTTCGGTTTTGGTGTGCGACCCCAAGTTTTTCAGTGGCCCCATGTGGGCACCCCTATGAAAAGTTTCTGGGGGCGCCACTGAGCAGCTTGGGCTTGGGGTTGATAATAAGCAGTAAGCAAACTGACCGTTCAACTCAAAACTTATGCTCTAATTAATGGTGAATTACTCTTCTGTACTGTAATATGTAACAACATTAAAAGGCCTCAAACCAAATGTTTTAAAATGCCTTTAGGCAACAAATGTCCCAGAAAAAAGTCTTAGCTGTTCAATTTTAATGCTCCATCGACTCAAAAAAATAGCTGATAATGGGAAGCTAAAGTTGTCCATGCAGGATTTTCAATCATACTCACACTAATGACAAAGACATGGTTTGATTAGACCTTTGCACAAGCCAAGGCAGTGAACGTGCATTTCGTGTTGAATCAGTTACAGCTATACTGCCTCTGTGCTGACTCATACAAATACCTCATAAGACAAGGTGTATTTTCTATCTTCTCCCCTCAGAGTGTGCATCAATTGAAGTCATTTTAGAAGAAAAATCAAATACTTGTGTCTGATTACCACATATATTAAGCAAAAGCATAATGAAAAGAGTTGGGTGCACTGAGGCTTGTGGTTGAAGCATGCTCTGCAACTATCTGTCCCCATTAATAAAAGTCAACAAAATGTCAGAACCTCCTCTGTTTCCATTAATAAACACAACCAAACAGCGACTGCTGCACAATAAATCACCGCAACAATAATGCTGTGAATTATGTCCTGTCACAGGGATGAAAAATGCTTATGTGTGGCATAAGCAGCTGTAGATATGCCCTAATGCATTGTTTGTTTCGGATTCAGGTTCATTTTGACAATGCTTTCTTGAATTTTTCATAAAAAAAAGGCTCATTGATAGAAAAATTCAATTATTCCAATATTTGGACCTGATTAAAGTCCGGCTTGACAAAATGATCTGAAGCATCGTGTTCATAACAATCATGATCTGATATTTAGCATTTAGTATGTACAAGATTGTAGAAATTCTATTAAAAAATATATTTTGTGAAAATGTTCTTGATTTTTTTTAATAGAACAATGAAAGCAATCTACTATACTTGTATGTACTTTATGTTTACTCACATATCTTCCATATGGCTCCATCTCCTTCTAGGTGCCTTCTTCCCAGCACTGAAGCCATCCGAAACTGTGTTTAAGGTGATCTTCTGGCTGGGCTACTTCAACAGCTGCATCAACCCCATGATCTACCCCTGCTCCAGCAAAGAGTTCCAGAGGGCGTTCACTCGGCTCTTCAGGTGCCAGTGCCACCAAAGAAAGAGAGTCCTGCGTCGCTTCTATGACCAGAGGTGGCGGACAGCTGTCAAGGGAATGACAAGGGATCAGAGGGGAGACTGTAAGCCCGGCTATTCCGTGCACGAATCCTGTGGCAGCTCTTTGTTACACAAGAGGAAAGGGCGCTCACTGAGTTTCAAGAGATGGAGTCTGTTTCCACCGCTGCAAAAATCTTCCTTCCAGCTCAAAGAGAAAGTGAACAATCTGTCAAATAAAATCAAGGGAGGGCCGGGAAAAGGAACCACACCTTCAGTAGGCCGGATTGATATAGTGGACACAGTCTCTATGGGGATTTACAACTCCTGTGAGCAGAGCAGTTATCAGTTCTACGATCTGGCAGACTGTTACGGCCTGAAAGAGACTGACATTTAGATGGCCACCAGAGAATGTTTTATTTATTTTCAAAGGGCCACGTTGGACCAACATGCAAGAACGACTGTGATAGGACATAATTTTGTGTTCAAGATACATCTGAGAATCAAAGCTTGATTAAAGCTGTGGACTGAGAATGATGGCTTGATCCCAGCACAAACAGGACTAACACTTTATCTCAATCCCTCTTCCCCATCGTGTTTATTTAGATGAAACGTCTTGTGAGCTGCTCAGAGCCACTTTTTGGAAGTGGACACAGAAGTAGCCAAATTCTTGGACTTACTTTGACTGCTGTCTCTTGGAAGCATTCGGCATCAACATAGCCCACAGACAGGCGCCCACACTCTCTGCAAGACATTTAACACAAGCCTTGTTGTTACTGCTTGTTTCTTTAAATTGTACATCGGACAATCTTTCCTCAACAAATCAGCTGACACTTTGTGATGACTGGTGATTGCTTTCTTTGATATTAAACATGACATTACATACAAATGTAAAGGATCCAAACAGATATTTTTAAAAACTCTAACAGAAAAAGTGCAATTTTTATCATTGTCAGAATGTCTGGATTTAATCAGATGTCATCTGTCAGAATTAATAATGGTATTTGCAGTTCTTCTGTTTTGACAAGGCATTGTAAAGATAAGAGGCCGGTTAAGAATAAAGATGCTGCACAGTATTTATTCTAACTGTCGGATTTATAACTTAACTTGACATTGATATGTACATTTGTTTGAATAAAACCCACGTGGCTACTTGGCCTGCCTAACTGTAATTTGCGTTGACAAGTGAGTGCTAATGTGAAATGAACACGCTGTTGTTTTTTGTATTTTCTGATGTTATGTTGAAAGAAAGATGTAAGATGAAAAGAGAAATAAAAATGAGAGAAAACAAGTTCAGCCAATAACTTTTTTTTCAGTTAAAGTTCCCCTTGTTATATTAATTATTTATAATAAATACAATTACCACCTCGTGATAGTACAGTATGCCTCTGCCAAATAGTCAAGTTGCAGACACTGCCAGTCAAGACATTGAAGGAATTTAATAAAAAATAATAGGTGTATTTTTTTTTTCAAGATGGGCATTAGTGTCTTCAGTATCCGATCAAACGTCTGCCCTTGTGGTTCTGAGATATGGTGTTGAATAATGGCCAGAAAAGTCCTTTTGCCGAACACGTGATGTCACAGTGAATTTGACATTTGAACTTTTGGATATAACATTTTATCCTATTAGACATTTGTGAGGAATCTTGTCATAATTAGCATATTAATTCTTGAGTTATTGCCCAAAAGGTGTTTTGTGAGGTAACGGTGACCTTTGACTTTTGAACACCAAATTCTAATCACTTGATCTTTAAGTCCAAGTGGACGTTCGTGCCAACTTTGAAACATTGAGGCGTTCCTGAGATATCACGCTCATGAGACTGGGATGGATAGGTGGATGGACAGATGAACCATAGACTGTATGTTAGAAAATAGACAACACATCCACTACCTCCTACTGTACCAGGAATTAAGCCAGGGGGTGAACAGTCATTGTGGTAGAAGTGGTATTGAGGTCCTGCGTAGCAGAACAACTTGACATCACCCATTGCATCTGGAGACCTTAAGTTTGGCATTTTGGTCATCACGGCCTTGTGTTTTTTGGAGCCAGAAACGCCCATATTTGTATGAGAGCTTGGAGTTGTAGAGGAGCTAGGGGATGATCTAACTAAGAACCTGAGGACACCGCCATGGGAGTGATGTGTCAATCACAAGGTAGCCACATCCAAAGGCATTCCCTGCTTTATGGTCTATTTCACTCTAAATGGGACCATATGTTGAGCATGGTGTTAGTTCTCAAGCAGCCCAATCAACTGATAGATCACATGATTCCTTTTTATGCAAACTAATTGGTGAATCTCATTCAGGGCGCCCTATTTAAGCTGCTTTGGCCTGCCTACTGTCGCTGCTTCCTCTGCAAGCCATTTTGCAACCTGCCTCCAACCCAGCTCCTCCTTTTCATGCTGTGTCTGACTTAGCAATGTCATTTCTGTTCTTTCTGTTCTGTTCCCGGGGGGTCTTTGGTGCTGCTTCCCCTGCCTTAGGCTTTCCATGTAGGCGCATGGAAGGGCAGGGAGGTTTGCGCTCTCTGCCTCAGACTTTCCCCGTATGCATATGGAAGGGCAGAGAAGTGTGCTCTCTCTGCCTTAAGGATTTCCACATAGGCACGCAGAAGGGCGGAGAGGTGAGCTCTCTCCGCCTTTTGCCGTAGGCTCGTTGAAAGGCAGAGAGGCCCCAGAACAGAGCCATACTGCCAAATAATAAAACTGCAAATGGAAATAGAGTTTTCTTTGACTAAAGTGTTCCTGACTGAATTTACAAAATGAACATCATGCTGTATATGAGATGACTCGAAACAAGTGGAGTCGCCCCTGCTGGCCATTAGAAAGAATGTAGGTTTAAGGTACCACCACATTTGCTTCACTTTTCAGAGCAGAGGGTACGTCCACTTCTTATACGCAGTCTGTTGGTCCTGCCCATACATCTGCCCAACTCAAGTCAAATGCTCGCGAGGCAAACACAGATATCAGTCATGACATCACACCCACTTTTAATAGCATCAAGTAACTGATTAAAACTTGTCAGATGAAGTGAATACAACATGCATCAGTGTGATGAGAACCACCCCAAAATGACATAAACGATCTTTGGGAAATATGTATTTGACATGTACTTTTTCAGTTAATAGTCAATGAAATTGATGGAAATAAATCAATATCTGCATGTGTCAACCAAAGTCAAAAGGTTAGTGAGCATCTGCTGACAGATTTTAGGAATGCAAAGAAGGTGACAAAAGGACACCCTTACATGAGGCTGGAGCTGCAGGCAGATGTAGAGAAACAGAAAAAGAGGGAGACTCTATCAAGACTAATACATCTCAATTGCTTCCTGTTATTAGCCTCGTTGTGCCATGTTTAAATGTTTTCATGACCAAGGGGAAAGTCAAGCAGCTGAATTTGTAGTTTTTTCATTTGCAATCATGACCAGAAACTAATATACGAACAATGTGCATGAAGAGAAAGACAATGATGAAAATAAACAGAAAACAGAAGGCAAAAACATACTGCTGACAGTGTAAGCTAAGAGCACCAATTATTGCAATTATATTTGATATAGTCTCGAAATCCAGACACAAATACTAGAAATATATGTATGGAAATATACAAAACAAAATAAAATGACACAGCTTTTTGTTATGGGTATGGCTTTTGAAACACTTTTCCATTTGTCCTCACTCACCCTTCTGTCCCTCACAAAGAAAACAGACTTCAAGCAGCAACAAAACTCCATCAAAGCTATTTTCTAACGCGAGTGATAAAATTATTCGGTTCCCATTGCAATGTGTTGTTACACTTTCACAGTTTGAACAGTTTTCACAAAACAATAGAGCTCGCCAAAGAGGCAGCCACATCCTTGACTCCTAATTGTGCACTGATGGCACTGGTGCTAGTTTAACAAAGATAGACTGTGACTATGGCTTAGAGCTAATAAACAGACTGCAGATAAACATCTAAATTCATCATTTGCACCACTGAGCTGTCTGGTCCTTGACTATCTTGAGTATGACTGTGCATTCTGGGCCCTGGGTATCTGTGCCTCGCAAGATTAGATGACAAATTACAAGGAAAAGTGAGGCAATAGCAGAACATGATATATACTTTCAAGGAGTTGCTAGGACTTCCAAAAACTTTCCTCACCTCGCAGCAATGTGAAACCCTAAAATGAGTCACGTTTCCTTCTTTTTCATCAGTTCAAAGCAGATGTGAAGGCACGTCACCATGGAAACACAGCCATTAGTTCTATCTAAAATAGCCTGGGGTTAGGTTGGCTGCTGTTTTAGCCTTTAAGCTAAACCTTTTAGGCATTTTAGCCACAATTGGTCTGCCTTTATGTTTGTGCAACTCCAGTGTTGCCTAAAGGACCAAACAGATGTCCACAGAGCTCATTCACATTGAATTTCTCCTCAGGGGGATTAATAAAAGTAAATAAACTTAAACTTAAACAAATAATAATAATACTAAAAGATAGATAGATAGATAGATAGATAGATAGTAAGAGAGAAAGATCCCAAGAGATCCCAGCTCTATCAACACCAATAAACAGGTTACTTCCTGTTATTGGCCTCATTTCAACATTGAAAATTCAGCACTGGAATGTGTGAATATGTTACTGAACAATACTACAAAGTGAGCAGAAGAACTGAGTAAAACTTGAAAGGGGATGAACATTTTTCACTCCAAAATGTCACTGCATACTGATGATTTACAAGCACTGCACAACATTGCATCTCCTGTGCATTCATCATTATTAATGCTGCCGTGTCCCCAATTATTTAATCTTATGTGCCACGATGTGAAGCAAAACACAGACAGATATGTATTAGCCCTCCACCAAACTGTTTCTAAAATGTCCTGAAAAATGCTAAATGTGCTACCTTTATTTTTTAAATACATTTATATTTTAGATTTCCACACCAGGTGCTCTAATTAATGAATTCATAGTTTGTGTGGGATATTTCAACCTGGTCTCACTCCAAAGTTGTCGAAAACCAGTTCTTGGTCAAGGGCTCCTAACATCAGACACCGACAAACAAAGTCAGCAAACATCAGCATGATAAGCGGCTGATTATTTTTAAAGGGATAGTGCACCCAAAAATGAAAATTCAGCCATTATCTACTCACCCATATGCCGAGGGAGGCTCAGGTGAAGTTTTAGAGTCCTCACAACACTTGCAGAGATCCAAGGGGAGAGGGGGTAGCAACACAACTCCACCTAATGGAGGCTTACGGTGCCCCAGATTCAAACGTCCAAAAACACATAATTGAAACCACAAAATATCTCCATACTGCTCGTCCGTAGTGATCCACGTGTCCTGAAGCCCCGACATAAAAAGTTGTTTGGAAAAACGTCATTTGAACTCTGTTTTTAGCCTCATTGTAGCCTGCAGCTCTAACTGCTTCTGTGTACACCGCGTTCATGTGTGTTCACGTGTTTTCGTGCAAGACCAGCGAAAGCACATGAACACACATGAACACGGTGCCCATGTCTCATGGTCTCGTGCAAGCGCACACATGTGACGTTTTTCCAAACAACCTTGATGTCGGAGCTTCAGGACACTTGGATCACTACGGACAAGCAGTATGGAGATATTTTGTGGTTTCAATTATGTGTTTTTGAACGTTTGATTCTGGGGCTCCGTAAGCCTCCATTAGGTGGAGTTGTGTTGCTACCTCCTCTCTCCTGGGATCTCCGCAAGTGATGTCAGGACTCTAAAACTTCACCTGAGCCTCCATCAGCATATGGGTGAGTAGATAATGGCTGAATTTTCATTTTTGGGTGCACTATCCCTTTAACGGTGCCCTGCTTGCATCAGGGGGCAATGCAGCAGGACAACAATGAAGATTAATAGGGTGAAATGTTCGAATAGGGTGAGTGGGAGGGGTGGAGGATGGGTCCAACAACTTTTTCCTGAACCCAACCACGTGCTTTTGTTGCCTAAAGCTAACTACGTGTGTTTGTTGTTGAAGGGAAAAAATTAGTGACGTAGTGTGTTTATTTTGAAAAGACACAGTGCATGTACAAGGCAAACGTTGATACAGTGTCCCAGAACATCAACAACCAACACACCCGGGTTACTTTCATATGTTGACATGGAAAGTCCATGACCAAACATCAATATGTGATGAGGTCAGAGTGAGAATGTGTTGGATATTTTGACCTATTAAATGTTGCATTAATTTAAGGCCTTTTGTGCCATCATACAGGAAGCATTGTGTATCATTATGCCACAACATAATCAACACTTTGGAGATAAGATTAGAGGAGCGACATTTTGAAAGTAAAAGATTCAGA